GATATATGTGTATATATAAATTTTATATATAAAAAATAGATAAGGTTTTATATATAAGACCTAGACACACATATACTCATATATGAATGTGTATACATGTATTTCCATCCCCAAGAAAACTAAATGATGACTCACTCAATGATGAGCTCAGAAGTCACTGTGGACCCCATTTTTAAAGTAATGGAGCTAGGGTGCAATCACTTGGCACATGGGTATACTTCAGTTTGCTTTTTTGACAGCTTCCAAGGAGCAAGAAAATATCTTCCTGCAGATGACACTAATTTGCCCTAGTTACCAGCATAAGAGAAAGCCATTGTCCTTTAACATTACAGGTGCTTGGACTTCAGCACAGGCTTGCTCTCATTGTTCCCTTAACTTGGCTGGGTTTTGGAGAACAGAAAGGGAGCATTCAGGGACATGATGTTACACTGTCCCCCTTTGTTTTAGGGGTGACACAGCATCCCATTCCAGTATCTTCTAAGAGTAATCTAAGATAAAGTGAATTAATAAGGAATAATAAATAGCTCAAAGAATTGATGAGAGGGCCCAAGAACTTGGCTTTAAAGCTGCATAGCCAGGAGCAGTGCAGCTGGGGTTGACATAGCCAGGAAAACAACCCTCCCTCCCTACAACGGGACAGTTCTAGAAAAAATGTCACCCATGATGCTGTGGACTTGATACCAGGATTCTGCCATAGCTGCACAAAAGGACCCCTGCATTGTCTTGCTGGAATGTACTGTCTCCTGGTCTGTGATGACCTCATTCTGTTCTCCTCCCATGTTTTAAACTTGAATAAGTAATTGTTATATATCATCTATGGCTGCACCTTAGCTGTAAGGAGTCTCGAAAGTACCTTTTAGTTTTTTAGTCTTTTTTTTTTTTTTTTGTACCGGGGATTGAACTCACAGGTGTTCAACCACTGAGCCAATGCCCAGCCCTTTTTGTATTTTATTTAGAGACAAGTTCTCATTGAGTTGCTTAGGGCCTTTCTAAGTTGCTGAGGCTGGCTTTGAACTCAAATCCTGCCTCAGCCTCACAAGTTGCTGGGATTACACGCATGTATCACCACTATGCCTCGCTAGTATTTTAGTTTTATAAGCATGGCAATATCCTCCAGTCAGGGATATCCTTCTGCATGAATACAACTGTAGTTGAGCCAGTTTGCTTTATTGCTTTTGTGGTGGGGAGAATATACATCATGAGGAGTTGGGGTTTGGGGTATCTTATTGAGAGGGCATTAGAACCGATGGCCAGATTTGGGCATTGGTTGGGTGATTTGTGGAGAGTCTAAGGAAGCAGGGGTTCATTCTGGATTGAATGCTGTCAAAAGTGGGGCAAATCTATTGACTTATTTCAAATTGAAGGGGCTTGTTGAATAAGCTAATTTATCTTATCTACTACAAGTCACATCACATTGAATGGAGAAGCTCTGGTGTTACGCTGAAGTCAGGTACAGTGTGCCGCTGTCCACAATAATTTAATATTTTCTGAAAGTTCAGTCAAAGCAGTAAAGCAAACAAAATAAGGAAAAAAATATTTGGAAAGGAAGAAACTTGCATATAATTGTCTACCTAGTAACCCACAAAAACCAAAAGAAATATTATTAGAAGGAGAATTAAGTAGGACAAATAGGTATAAAATCAGTGTGCAGAAATCGATGCTTATCTTTTAAAATCAATAATCAGCAAAAAGCTGATTTTAAGAAGGCATTAAAATAAGAGATGAAAATATCTAGGAGTAAACTAACATAAGTGAAGGCCCATATAAGTAAAACTGTAAAGCCTTATCGGGGAGCTTGAACGAAAGCTTGACTATATGGTAGGGTGTAGGGCACTTGTGGGTGGGATAACTCAGTAATTATGTCATTTCAGGTGTAATAAAAACCTCTGTGTGTGTGTGTGTGTATGTGTGTTTGTTTGTTTGTTTATTTATTATGTACCAGGGATTGAACTCAGGGACACTTAACTACTGAGCCACATCCCCGGCCCTTTTTATTTTTAATTTTGAGACAGGAATGCACTAAGTTTCTGAGGCTGGTCTTGAACTTGTGATTCTCCTGCCTCAGCTTCCTGAGTCATTGGGATTACAGGCAGGTATTACTGCTTCTGGTTAGATGGCATAATTCTACTTTTTTTTTTTTTTTTTTGGTACCAGGGATTGAACCAGGGGCGCTTAACCACTGAGCCACACCCCCATCCCTTTTTGTATTATATTTTGGGACAGGGTCTCACTGAGTTGTTTAGGGCCTTGCTAAGTTGCTGAGCCTGGCTTTGAACTCATGATCTGCCTGCCTCAGCCTCCTGGGCTGCTGGGATTACAGGCGTGTGCCATCTAGACAGCATAATTTTAAGGTCATCCCAGAAGAATGAAGAAATTTTGGAAGGTTAAGGAGTGATTTACACAGCTGGAAGGGAAGATTTATTATAAAGTAGCATAATTTGGGGCTATTGAATAACAATAGCCCCAAGACAGGCTTAAGTCTATACAATTGGTATAGGATAAAGGCAGAATTTAAATGTACTCACACTCTGCTGAGGATATAGAAAGCTGCAGAATGCACCACTCCCACCCAAATTACAAGAAAATGACAAACAGCAAAATTGTTAATTTTGTTGAGCCCATGAGATAGATGAGGTTGTGAGGCAACCATGTAACCTCAAGAGACAAACTCCTCCAAGGACAGAGGGGCTGTGCAAACTCCTAGCCTGGCAGAGCACAAGAAGAGGGGGCACCATGATGCACAGGGGTGAGAGGAAACCAGCCTGAGTGCCCAGCACTGCCCATCCACGCGTGGGTGCGAGTGTGAACCTGGAGGAGCTGAGGCAGCACTCGGCTGCAGACTCTTTCCCCAAGATTTCCACAGGGTGCTCCCAAAGAACTACAGAGACAGCAGAAGACTGGCTCCCTCCGGCCCATATCCCTGGTGCTGGCAGGTAGGTGGCACTCAATGCTTGCTGGGAGCACAAAATGCCATGTATTTCCCTGGATTCCTCCCTCATAGGAATCAACATCCTTAAGCCACTGCGGGTAGGTAGCAAATTCACTGTCCCACAGAACTTGAAGAGGTCAGTGGGTATGGAAGAGGCACAAAACCTCACTCCTTGGACAGTTTTCCCTGGACAGTAAACGAAGGCCTCAGGAGACTCGAATGGCAAAATATTCCAGGGCAGACTGACAAGGGTACAAAGCTCAAAAGATACATGAAAAGCATTTGATAAAAGTGAGCATCCATTTATGGTAAACCTCATCTAACTAAAACTTCTCACTCTCAAAAAGGGCACCTACTAAAGACCTACAGCCAGCATTGTGTTTAGCACTGAAAGATTGAATCTAAATTGTGGTACATCCGTGCAAGGAAATACTACTCAGCAAGAAAAAAATACAGCCAGCATTGTGATTAGCACTGAAAGATTGAATCTAAATCGTGGTACATTCATGCAGGGGAATACTAACTACTCAGCAAGAAAAAGGGTGAACTACTGATGCACCCGGCAACATGCATGAATCTCGGAAGGATCATGCCAGGTCAAAGGAGCCAGACTCAAAGGCTCTCTACTACAGGATCATGTATGTTGATATTTGGGAAAAGGCAAAACTATAGAGCAGAGAGCTGATCAGTGGTTGGCAGGGGAGGGGGGTGGGGGAGAGGAGGGGGACAAGGGATCAACTCCAGAATGACATAAGGGAACTTTTTTTAAAAAAAATTTATTATTAGTTGTTCAAAACATTACATAGTTTTTGACCTACTATATTTACAAGGGAACTTTTTGGAATGATGGAAATATCCTATCTGTGTATCTTGAATGTGCTGGTGACTGTAAATTGTGCATATTGACCAAAATTCAATACTCTTCAGGGACAAAATTTTCTCTATGTGAATCATATATTAAGAACCTTAACTTTTAAAAATGGTTCAGGGGGCTGGGGATGTGGCTCAAATGGTAGCGCGCTCGTCTGGCATGCGTGCGGCCCGGGTTCGATTCTCAGCACCACATACAAGGATGTTGTGTCCGCCAAATACTAAAAAATAAATGTTGAAATTCTCTCTCTCTCTACCTCTCTCTCACTCTCTCTTTAAAAAAAAATATTTAAAAAAAATGGTTCAGAAAGAAAGTGTCATTCTGAATAATGCTGAAATTATTGGTAAACCATTTGGAATACAACAACTTTCCGTTTCTCTCATGACATAATAAGATGAATTCTAAATGTATTATAGATATGTATGAGAAAACTATTAAAAAACCTTAGAAGTAAGAAGAAAATATAGGTGATGATTATGTAGGAGATAAAAGCATAAAACAAAACAAAGGAGGGAAGAGGTTAATGGGACAGGTTGCCAGAAGGTACAGGGGATGCATCCTTGAGAACAATACCCACTGGAGTCCCCCGCTGCCCTCCCCGCCTCCTTCCTTTTCAGAGTGTGAATGGTAGGTAGTTATGTGGACATTTACCAGTTATTCACCACACTGTGTAGCCCTCTGTGTGTGACCCATATTTTACAATAAGGAAGAAAAAAAGAAGCTAGGGGTAGCACATCTGAAATCCCAGAACCTCGGGAGGCTGAGGCAGGAAGATTGCAAGTCTGAGGCCATCCTGGGCAACTTAGTGAGACTCTACCTCAAAAAGGGATGGGGATTTGTGACTCAGTGATAGAACACCCCTGGGTTCCATCCTAGGACCACACACAAGAAACGCAAGAGGCAAATTTGGGGTCCACTTATAATTTCCTGCATTTTACACACAAGGGTATGTAGGCTAGGAAGGCCAAAAATTTCTCCCATTTCCTAGGTCAAGTTTCCATTCCTTATCCACGTCCTTACAGCCAAAGCAGCTGCATGATTTAGCAAAAATTAATACACTCTGAACTTTTTTTCAGGTGTGTGTGTGTGTGTGGTGCCGGGGATTGACTTCCGGGCCTGGCACATGCTAGGCAAGCATTCTACCACCAAGCCACCATACACCCATTGTTTGAATTTTTTTTTTTTTTTTTTTTTTTTGGAGACAGGGTCTCACTAAGTCGTCCAAGTTGACTTCATACTTGCGATCCTCCTGCCTCAGCCTCCTGAGTAGTTGGAATTGCAGGTGTGTACCTCCACTCCTGGCTGACTGGACTTCTAAAAATTAAGGTCAGTTTGAAAGAACCTGGGTTGCAGATATGAGATATTTAATAAAAAAGAATAAATATTTATGAAATCTATTGACCTGGGACAGAGAAAGCCATTTTATAAAGCAAAAGCAGAAACCATGAAGAAAAAGATGGGTATTTTGAGAGTGTTACAAGCCATATGTGGGTGATAGGATTATGGGTAACTCTTAGTTTTACTATGTGTGTTTTTCTGATTTTTGATATTTTCCAGGTGGAATGTATATCATCTAGGTGACTGGAAAAAAAACCAGTAAATTTAAAAATAAGTCTCATTGTGAGAACAGTGAACCGGAGTATCACGGAGGAAGGCAGCTAACCCAGGAGAAGTGAGGGCTTCGGGCTGCTCTCAACGCTGAGTTTTCACATGAAACCTTATGGGTTTTAAAGGTGGAGAGCAATTGATTAAAGGACCTTGAGCGGATGTTGGTGAGAATGTGGCCACATTAGGATGTTGAAAGAAGATGGGGCTTTGACACCTGCCAGCCTTGGACATGCAGGTTGTAACCTGAACAAAACTGTTTTCCGACCCTGCCTTGCTCATCACAGATGTTAAGGTCCAAAGAAGGCCCAGCACCGGGTGGAAGACAGATGGAGAGCACAGCAGGAAGCCTGGGCCCAGTCAGAGAGGTGAGGGGAGCCCCTCCACCTTCCACCCGGTGACTTACGCGGGAGGATAGGAGACAGCGGACTTGGTGGCATTCCTGCTGGTGGCTCCCGGCACTGCATCCTGCAGCTGGGTGCTCCTCTGTGTCTGAGTTCCCTGTTCTGAGAATTGGTTGGTGTGAAGCGAGAGTGTCCAGCGTGGCATCTTCCTTGATGATCGTCCTCTGGTTAAGCTGTGTTAACTGTGTTCATGGGACAGAGAAAACCTGTGACTGAATGAAATGTACAGAGGTCTGTACCCCGAAAACCCTGGCCTAGTTTTACTCCCCTCTCTGCTCTCTAATATTTCACTGCACCGTTTCTGTCACTCCAGGGGCCTTTGGGACAGTGGCTACTTCTCACCTTGGCACATAAACACCTGCTTTTCCTTCTACAGAGCAGCACCCTCATTACCACATACTCCAGTGTACAAACCAGCTGAGTTCTCTGACACTAGGCATGCTATTTCATGGTTCTGGGCTTGTATAGTCTGGTCAATATTATCAGCTGTCTACTGTGTGCCAGGCGCTGTGCTAAACAGTATGACCCCTCCTCAGAGCATCCTGTTGAAGTCTTGGTTGTTGTCTCCATACAAGAGAGGACTGAGGTTCAAAGAAATGAAATAATTCGCCTAGGTTCACACAGCTAAGTGACAGAGTTGGGATGGGAATGCAGGTTTAACTCCAAAGCCTGATTTTTCTTGTTAAAATATAGAAAAAAATGTATCAATTAGCCTTTTTAAAGTGTATTATTCTGCAGCATTAAATACATTCACTTTGTTAGGCAGCTATCACTACCATCCATATTCAGAATTTAACTTTTCCCATCTAAGACTCTGTATCCATCAGACACCAACTTCCCATTTCCCCTCCCTGGAGTCCCTGGAACTACCCTCCTAATCTTGTCTATGGATTTGACTGCTCCAGCTAGCTTGTGTAAGTACAATCAACCAAATTTGTCCTTTTGTGACTGGCTTATTTTATTGAGCTACTAGTATTTTATCTTTGATCACTACCCAGGCTGGCAGCTGGCAGGTGTCTTTGCTGTAAAGTTATTCTTTATTCTCCTCGTAAAAATAAATATCTTTGAGTCAGTACATCTCTCTTTCCTCACCAACCCTTCACTTACTGAATTCTCAGCATCCGCTGATGTTTCTTTACTGAATTAACTACTATTATGGTTGCTGAATGTCGACTTTTTAGTGTTATTGTCATTTCTTTTGCATCTAGTAGTTGTATTTGTACTATAAAGTACTTTCTCTTTCCATTTATTTTTAACAGCATGGATTTATGAGTGCATATTGTATTCAGTAGTTTTTTCGGGGGGGGGGGATTGATCTCAGGGGCACTCAACCACTGAGCCACATTTCCAGCCCTATTTTGTATTTTATTTAGAGTCTCACTGAATTGTTTGGCACCTTACTAAGTTGCTTTGAACTCACGATCCTTCTGTCTCAGCCTCTGGAGCTGCTGGGATTACAGGCATGGGCCACTGTGCCCAGCTATTCAATAGATTTTAACATGCTACTGTCATTGCCCAGTAGGAGCCACTTCAAAGTGGTTTCTGGTTTTTATTTTTAATTTTTATTTTTTTGGAGTACCAGGGATGGAACCCAGGTCACTTCCCACTGAGATATATCTCCATTTCTTTTTATTTTATATTTTCAGATAGGGACTTGCTCAATGGCTATGTAAGTTGCTGAGACTACCTTGTATTTGTGACTGTCCTGCCTCAGCCTCTTGAGTCCCAGGAATTAGGGGTGTGCCACCAAGCCCAGCTTCTGGGTCCTTTTAACATGACTTCATGATTGCCTGAGCACCTCCTTACTTTATGACATAAAAGGTGCCCCAAGCTCATGTTAGTTTCAACCTGGATTCAACAATCTGAATACAGCAGACCTAGGAAGGTGGTGCACGCCTGTATTCCCAGTGGCTGAGGCAGAAGGGTCTCTCGAGTTCAAAGCCAGCCTCAGCAAAAACGAGGTGCTAAGCAACTCAGGGAGACCCTGTCTCTAAATAAAATACAAAATAGGGCTGGGGATGTGGCTCAGTGGTCGAGTGCCCCTCAGTTCAATCCCCAGTATCCTCCTAAAAAGGCTACCCCTAAATGTTTAAAATGCAAAAACAGAGTAAGTTACTCAGGTTGCTTCTTGGGCCTATTCTCATGCCTGTGCCTGTTTGAGACTTTACCCAGTTTGTTACCAGATTCGTTAAGTAGCAGCCCCCAAGGAGGAAGTGTGCATTTTATGGCCAATTAAGCATTAGCTGTGAACCTGAGCATCCTTGAGAGGGGATACAGAGAGGAGCAAACACTGATGTGCATTGCAGGATTGCAGGGCTTTCTCCTCTCAGACACCAAGGGCCTGCCAGTGTGGGAGCTCTGTCTGGAGGGAGGAGAGTTTTACATATTTCTCTCTAATGGTAACAGAAGTGAGACTGTTGTTGTGAAAAGACACATGGTTTAGAATGCACCATATGGCCCTGAGAGGTGTTCATCACTGCAGCCTCTCATGGCTGAACTCAGAATGGCTCATATTTCTGCATTGATGGAGGATAAGCCACTGACTGCCAGGAAATACCCATTGTAGCAGCTCTTCAGCCATGTAATTTAAAATAATTACTAATTAAATGAAAATAAAATAGAGTCCATAATAACAATAATAACCACTGTAGCATTTGTCATTACCGCTTGCTGGAGCGTTACCTAGGGGAAGATCGCCTGCGAAAGGAGAGGGACTTCCAGGCAGCCAGCGGCTTTGTCACTGCTGTTGAGCAAGGAGGAGGAGCTGCCTCGGTGTTTGGCATCCACAGACCTCATTTTCTATTCCCCCTCTATTGCTGATCTCATGTGGTTTCAAGGAATTTGTTCACTAGTAAAAAAGGCAGGGTGCTATTGAAAAATCAAGGCAAAGGGACCGCCATGGGGCACTTGGTGAGGGATTAATATTGTGGCTGGAAACAACTCACAGACAATTACCTTGTATTTGATGGGCATCTCTCTGATCCTCACCTAAAGGCAAGGCCCTTTTGCAAGAAAGCCTTTGAGTGCGTGTCTTCAACATCAAGTGGCTGGGAGCAAGGGATGTGCACAGTGTCCACGGAGCAGGGTCCTATGACTTACAGAGGTCTGCGGGGACTGAAGAAGGGAAAAAGTGGAGGCTGATCAGCAGGTTTTCTGGTTTTCTTTTGGGGTGGACTAAAAGAATGTGCATTCTCTTCTTCATTCATCCATGCAACAGATGTTTATTAAGTATCTACTATGTGCCAGATGTTGTTTGAGGTGCTGGGAATATTAATTAAGGCAGACATGGCTGCTGACCTCAGGATCTGACAGTCTGCTAGGTAGGGAGGAATATATTAATATGAAAGCAGAAAAGTATTATAGAGGGAAAGAAGAGAGAGCTTGGGAGGATAGCAGAAAAACTGTCAGCAACATGGCATTTCTGAAGGACAATTTGAGAAAGCGCCATTTCTGCTGAGGCCTGAAGTCAAAGGAGAGTTTGGCTAGGTAACTTCTGAGGGGAGAATGTTCCAGGCTAAGGTATGGTTATGGACAAAGGCCCTGAATGAACATGCAACTTAATTTGTTTGAGAAACTAAAGAAAGTCTAGGGTGTATGGATTTCATTCCAAGTTCAATGGGAAGTCTCAAAACCAGGAAGTAGCAGCACCTGGTTTATATCTGTAAAAGTTCAGCCTGGTTGCTGGTGGGGAAGATCAGGGCCTGAGCAGAGGCAGGAAAACCAGGGATGAGTTCCTTTAAGAATTCAGGTAAGAGAGGAAGGTCACTTGCACTAGGGAGATGGCAGGAGATGACCGGAAGGAGAGAGATTGGGTGTTTTTTCATTTAGGCAGCAGAATGGACTTGGGATGCTCAGGAGAAGGGAGGAATCAGGGCACAGATACTTGGCTTGAGCACTAAGGAGAATGGTTGCACAGTATGCTCAGGTGTGAAATATCAGAGGACAAATGAACCTGGGGATTAAAGTATTTGGGTTTTAAATTATGGTTAAATATATGTAACATTAAACTTACCATTTTGACCATTTCTAAGGGTGCAGCTCAATTGTATTTCTTGCACAGTCATCATTATTCTCTGTCTCCAGAACTTTATCATCTTTCCTACAGATGTCCCCTACCCTTCCCCAGCCTCCACTTAGCATTCTGTTTTATGAGTTTGGCTGCTTCGGATGCCTCCTAGAGGTCCCATTGTGGTTGGTACACTAGTACCAACTGGATTTCAGAAGAGACCTCCTGCTTAGTCTGAATCCTACAGGCCAGGGTGCGCAGCAAGCTCTTTAGCAATAATTTATCATGGTGGACCTTCCATGTTTATTATTATTATTATTATTATTATTATTATTATTATTATTTGGTACTAGGGATTGAACCCACAGATGCTTTAACACTGAGCTACATTCCCAGTCTTTTTTTAATTTTTTGAGACTGGGTCTCCCTAAATTGCTTAAGTCCTGGCTAAGTTGCTGAGGCTAGTCTTGAACTTGAGATCCTCCTGCTTCAGCCTCCGGAGTCGCTGGGATTACAGTCATGCAACCCCATGCCTGACTCCATGTTTGCTCTTAAAGGTTCCTATTCCTACCCGGCTGCTCACTATTTGAGGATATGACCATTCTGGTGAACACTCTGCACCTGGTTCTCTCCTTTCTAATCCATGTTGTTGCTTAGTAGAAAATTAATGAAGAATAACCAAATATGAGCTGCAAACAAAAGTGATGGGAAAAGGGAAGTTTATTGTCGTTTTGGGGGGAAGATATATCTAGTGAAAATCAAATACTTTTGACAATCTTTAGAGTGCATGGAAGGCATTTTGTTTGTTTTTTCCTTTTCTTTTTGGTAACAAAGAAAATGCAGTTTTAAAGTGTTTTCCAATTTCTCTCTGAGCTCCCTTTCATTCTCTGATTTCTTAACTCCTAATGGGGTAATATAAACCAGTTTTCTGTCATCTTAGTATTCTTCAAAGCTGTCGATTTACTCTGAACACAACGAAAGCAAAGATGTTATTAAAATAAAACAACTTCCAATTGAGCTGCTAATAAATGCTGAAATGCATCCACATTTTGCCTATTGATTATCTCCAGCTGACAAAAGCAAACACAAGCTTGTACGGCATGCTGCCTGTGGAAATGAAAGATTTAATTAGATGAAAACCGAATGAGCTGGAAGATCTACTGCGCTCGGGCCTCCAATGATTGTTATTCATAATTGGCTGTTTGAAATGTCCCCCCTTCTTGAGCCTTTTCACTTAAAAAATTCCCCACAGTGCATTAAGACAAGCTCATTGTTAGACTCTTTCCCCCTGTGCGTTTCCCCAGCTCAAGGTTGTGGACTAGAATGAGCCCTGTCAGGCCATAAATCAGGTGTAATAGAACATCTTAAAATTGAGAATTGCAAGCAAGAGCGGGGAGATTGGTTCCTCTCCATCTCAGGCCCATCTCCAAATGCTGGAGGTGGGAAAGAGGTGCTGGTGGAAGATGTAAGAAAAGGTCCATAAACTCAGAGAGTGGAGTTCTTTAGAACTCACTGGCTCTGTAAGTATCTGCATTTAAAGTTTAGTGTCTGGTAAATGCACTGATAGTTGGCGGCGGGAGTGTATTAAGAAGTTGGTATTTGCTGTGCCAGGAATGTTTCAAACACCTTTCAGGAATCTTGCTTTTGGGAACTCCACCTAGACAGGTTTCCTGCTTGGAAACCCAAGCATATGGCGAACCCTTGAAGGCTCTGCTTTCTTTCTTCACACAAGGGGGATGTGGATTGTGCCTTTCTCATGGGTTAGTTATGGGGTAAAGCTTTTGGCACAGAGATGGGGCAAATGGGAAGTACTAAATGACTGTCAGCTCTGACCCATCATCCCTTACACATCTGCAGGTCCCAAGAAGAAGATAACATTTCTTTTATTTCCCATAGCACCTTGGCCAGCGTCATATACTTCTGCCCACTATAAAAATTAAAGGCCATATCAGTGGCTCAGTATTTAGATTCTCAGAGATTTGAGTGGGAGTTGACAGACATTCAACTAGTATATATTTAAAATCTTCAATTGTTTTTAAAATATCACATTGTGAACAGGCACGGTG